GGGTAGCTTGCCATCTTTTTCGACTTCCATGGTGAATCTGATGGCTGGGTGTATGGAATTGATGTGGTCGAGAAATTGGTTTAGAGCAGGCCGGCCATGTGGCCAGATGACAAAAGTGTCATCTACGTACCTCTTCCATAAGGTCGGGCGTAGAGTGGCAGTCTTGATGGCGTCAGTCTCAAATTTCTCCATGAAGATGTTGGCTACAACCAGAGAAATTTGAGACTGACGCCATCAAGACTGCCACTCTACGCCCGACCTTATGGAAGAGGTACGTAGATGACACTTTTGTCATCTGGCCACATGGCCGGCCTGCTCTAAACCAATTTCTCGACCACATCAATTCCATACACCCAGCCATCAGATTCACCATGGAAGTCGAAAAAGATGGCAAGCTACCCTTTTTGGATGTCCTAATTAAAAGGAGACCTGATGGTTCAATGAGCCACTCTGTCTACAGGAAAGCCACCCATACGGATGCTTACCTAAAACCGGATTCCCACCACCATCCATCCCAGAAGAATTCCCTCATCAAGACTCTATACCATAGAGCCCAATGCATCTCCGACCAGGAACACATTGGCAGTGAACTCAAACACGTACGCCAAGCTCTTAAGGCTAATGGTTACTCCGACTACACAATCCGCAAGGCCATCACTCCAACCATCAAGAAGGATCCTGTTGAGGAACCTTTCAAGACCATCACCTTACCCTACATTGCTGGGGTCACAAAAAAGATCTCCAAAATCCTGATTAAACACAAGATCCAGGTCCGATTCAACACAGTACATAAAATCCGTGATCTGGTCCCGTCTGTAAAAGATATGGTTCCAGACATACAGTACCCTGGCGTCTACAAACTAAGTTGCCTCTGTGGTAGCAGTTACATTGGAAAAACCAAACGACATGTCTTGGACCGCATCCGTGAACATAAAGCAGACCTGAAACACGGTAGGACAAACACCTCAGCCGTGGCAGATCACTGTTACAATTCAGTGGGCTCACGTCACATTGACTTCTCCAAGACAGAGGTTCTCTGCAAGCCATCTGGCTACCATGAGAGATTCGTTCATGAGGCGATCCACATATACAAACACAGAGACAATTTCAACCGAGAAGATGGATTCTGGCTCAGCAATCATTGGAAGGACGTAATAAACCATTTCGGATCTTAACTGATTGTGTTCACGTTTACGGTGACTTTCAGACCGCGTTCCACTCACTGGCATGGTGCAGTGTGCAGAGTAATGTATGGTGTCGTAATTGTATAGTAAATATATAGCAGTGTGATACACATTAGGGTGGGTAGAATAATACATAGTGTTATATTAAAATGGATAAGGCAGCAACTGCAGCAGCAGCAGTAACTGCAGCAGCAGCAACTGCAGCAGCAGCAGAAACTGCAGCAGCAGCAGAAACTGCAGCAGCAGCAGAAACTGCAGCAGCAGCAGAAACTGCAGTAACTGCAGCAGCAGCAACTGCAGCAGCAGCAGCAACTGCAGCAGCAGCAACTGCAGCTCCCTTTGATGCTGTTAATCCTGCATAATGCACATGCATATGTAGTACTAATCACATTCCTGCATTTCCCATAAATATGCTAAATTCCTCTTGATATGCAAATTCCTTTGTCAAAGCGCCCAGCTTATATATATGCTCCAAGCTCGTGCGCTGTTTCATTCAGACTCTGTCGCCTCGACGGACCTGGTTTTCACCTGAGGACGGCTGCTTGCGTTGTGGCCGAAACGTCGTGAGAATAATTTTATTATTTTTTATTTTTATTATTTTATTACTTCCCTTCTACGTGACTTTACCGAAAGAACCAAGAAGATGAATCCCTGCAGTCACGAAAGCTTTAAATCAAAATTTAAATATTAACTTAACCCTCGTAATATCCTTGGTAACAACTATGGTATACCACAAATCTTGGTTAAGCTTGAACCAAGTAATTATGAAAGTATTAGACCTAGGGTCATTCGGAAGAGATAATGCGAAATATGTCAATCACACGACCAAGATAATATGTATTCCACGGGATCAGAGCCTCGCCAACCGCCTTTGTCTTCCAGTAGCTAACACAGTACATGGTCAGTTTAACACGTAGGCTTTCGCGACCAATATTAGTCAAATGTGTCGTAACCCTCCACCACCCGACACTGCCAAACAGTAAAAAATGTGTCGCGTTTTTTACCAAGACAAATAGTTCACTACTTTGGCCCACCACCGGTGTGTTGAGTGATTCAACATCATTTAACAGGACCCTGCGGGGTGGGCTGGTAGGAACGAACAATTGAATGGCTATAATAAAATGAAATGGCAAAAAATGGCCGCCAATAAGTGGATGCCCCGTGGCCCCGCCCTCCACCCGCGTAACCCAGCCCGGGCCACCCGTGGCCCCGCCCCATCTCGGTGTCCCCGGCCCCAGCTCGTTGCCCTGCCCCTTACCGCCGTAACCCCGCTCCAACCCTGCGTAGCCCCGCCCTCCACCTCGTGCCCATGCCCCCAGCCGCCGTTGCCCCGCCCAGCCCCGCGTAGCCCCGCTCTCTGCCGCTGTAGCCCCGCCCAATACACCCCAAGCGGGGGAGAGATTCCCAGGCCTGGCTCTAGGCTGGAAAGCCGCCGACGAGGAGGGGGTAGGGAGTTGTTTTAAATGTAAAAGCTTTAAATGTAAATGTTTCTATTAAAAAACATCAGGGAATGTAACATTGTTAGACATTAACTCCCTTTCACACACGCGGGGGTACGATACGAAGGGAGAGTTTTGAGGCCTAGGTCTAGGCTTTAGGCCTAGCTGTAGGCTTTAGGGCGCCGTGAGTTAGTTTTTAATTTACCTGTTTTAATTATTTATGTAAAAGCTTTAAATTTAAATGTTTCTATTTAAAAGCATCAGGGAATGTAACATTGTTAAACATTAACTCTCTTGCACACACGCGGGGGAACGATACGAAGGGACAGTTTGAGGCGTTGTTCGAGGCTTGAGGCCGAGCTGTAGGCTTTAGGCTGCCGTGAGTTAATTTTTAATTTAAATGTTTTTATTATTTATGTAAAAGCTTTAAATTTAAATGTTTCTATTTTAAAGCATCAGGGAATGTAACATTGTTAAACATTAACTCCCTTGCACACACGCGGGGGTACGATACGAAGGGAGACTTTGAGGCCTAGTTCTAGGCTTTAGGCCTAGCTGTAGGCTTTAGGGTGCTGTGAGTTTTTTTATTTAATTTCAAAGTTTTAATTAAAAGCTATCTCAGGGAATTATAAGGGAATGTTACACGTGTTTAGCCAGGAAAGCCTCATTAATTTAAATGTTTTAATTAAAAGCTATCTGAGAGAATTATAAGGGAATGTTACACTTGTTTAGCCAGGAAAGCCTCACAGAGTCTAAAGGTTTTTGTAGGGTCATGCCAAGTGTTTGCAGTAGGGGGCGATGTTGCTACACGGACGGACGATATAATCTATTGTAGGCTGGTCCACTTTGTTCCTACCAGTAAAATTTTGAGTACAACATTTCGCTGGTAATTACATCCAGCATCATCGGGCAATTTGCCAGAATGGTGAGGCCCTCCACTCGCTCCTGGTCTTAAATGGAGCAACAGGGTGACGTCATCTTTTAGCTCAATCTGGTGCAGTGATTCGAGGCGGAGACGGGGAGGGTATTGTAATTATATAATTGACTAGCTTTACTACCCAGCTTCGCCCGGGATTGGATTCACCACGCCTGGCTGCCTTTGTTTCCCCAGTGGCGATGTTCACACACCATACCAGTTACTCGTTTGAGGCTGAGTCGACCTAGGGGAGGCCCAGGACCAGTTCAAATTATCGTCACCGGTAGTGGCCGTGAGCGGGAATCAAACTCTGGTCGCCGGGTTCGTAGCGCAGCGCGCTAACCACTACACTACAATGCGTTACGCTTCCACATGCGCGGGTCACATGACAGTTTGACGTCACAGCTCACCGTGCAAAAAATATATGCTCCCCCCCCCCAAAAAAAAAAGTGTGTACAGTCTGGAAAGTACCCACATGGCAAGTTTGTTGCATATCGGGAAGTACGCTAAACATTTTGAACAGACACACATAATCACAACTTTGCCTTTTATGTGTAATGGGTTCTGGAGACACTTGCAGAGGTAACTTCTTTATTACGATACCACACTCCAACAGTCAACAGTCCTCTGTTACAACCTAGGGACACAGCCTAGGGACACAGCCTACTCTGGCTACGCTCTCGGGTCCTCCGGCTACAATTACCCTAGGGGAGGCTACCTGACCCGACCCAGCCAAGGTGCCGGTCTCGACTCTGGCTTCCTCGGAACTCGCCCTTACAAGGACGTAGAGCCAGAAGTCCCAGAGTCCCACCACTGCCCGCACAGCGTGCCGGCCCTTACAAGGACAAGCGGGGCGAGGGGGTCCAGAGTCCTAAGCTGGCTGGTCTTGGGTCTTTAGCTGTGACTGGTCCCGATCGACTGGGGAGGTCCCCTTTAATGTTCTTTTGCCCATCGAGGGGTGGCGTTGCGTGGGATCGTAGATCCCCCGCAGCCCCCCCCCCCCCCTTGGCGGTACGGGGCACCCTTGCAGATGGATTTCGTCTACCACTGCCGGTAAGTTTGGCCCATTTACGGCACTACATACGTATAAGGAGATTGGTAATCATTCAATTGTTGTTTATTGCTATTTGTTTCCCCTATAAGGAATGGGAATTGTAATATATACTTTTTAAAATAATATGCTTCCAGGCCGCACTAAGCCTGTAGCTGTTAGAGCGATTAAAGTTACTTGTATTTCGCTCAATTTCAATGGATTATCTAATTAATCTTGGCCAGTAATAATTAGTTTTACACAACACTTCAACGTTATCAAAATCAATTGAGTGACAAGTATGCTCTGCCACTGCCGACAGTTGTATTTGAGATTATTTAATGAGACTAAAAGAACACCAAAGAAAGTACTGCCTGGGAAAAGGCATTTGCACGGTCATCAGTTCTTCAGATCCACCAGAGAACAAACACGGGAGAAACCCTTCATGTGCAGTGTGTGTGGGAAGGCATTTTCAGGTTCACCTGCTCTTGAAAATCACCAGAGAACACAGGCATCAGAAGATTCCCAAGGAGCAGAGTCTAAAATCGGCTTGTGAAAGTCAAAAGTGCTGCAAGGCGCCCATCCTTAATAATAAGAACTACAAGAAAATCCCAGCTTGGACACTTTAAAATGTATCAAGGTGAAATTTAAAGAGGCGAATGTGAAATGTGAAGATGCGGCAGTGAAGACCGAAGAATTAACGGTACAATATGAAGATGAAGATTCAACTCCAAAATCGGACCTTCACATTGATGGGGGCAACGTGTAGCAGGAGGAGAATTCTGACTGATGCAGAGCGAGGCAACTCCCAGCAGTTTGTGGAAGTGGAGGTGTGGCTGGACTTCTTAGGCAATACAAAGTCAAATGGAGACCCTGTAGATGTGTAAGCTTGAGACAATGAAGCTCCAATAGATTCACCTTTGTCACAGGTCTTTTATGAAATAATGAGAAGTTGAACACTCAATTCCTAGGTTTATCCTGCAGAGTAAGAGCAGCCAGTATTTGTGGACATATGGGTTGGGTAGATCTCTAACCAGGAGTAAGAGCCAATAAGCTCCCAAGCATTCACTATATTATGATAATATTTGCATTCATATGGAGCTTAATTGCCCATAATTAGATCGCGTTAATTTCAATGTTTGGTGAAACTTTCCACTTCGCGATTTGTTCTCCAACACACCGCTGTGCTGTACTAGTGTAGTGTAATAACGCCGACTGTTATACAGCAACGGCAACTGCGGTGGACAAATAGTACACACGCCAGTGAGCATATACACGGGTTAGTCGGCAGGGCAGAAAAACTGGGGCAAGGGTCACGGAAGACTCCATCTGGAAGCTCCGGGAACCTGCTAGTGGGTTCGAGAAGGGAGGCGCAGCCAGGGCGGAGTCTGGCCGCACTGGGTAGCATAAAAGTAGCTGAGAGTGGGAGCTCAGGGCTGTCAGTTTTGGGAGTGGGCTCATCTCGTCGTGGCTGTCAGCTTCGCCGCTTTCGTCAATGCCGTCTTCGCTAGATATTGCACGGCCGGATAGTTGTTGGCTGTCTCGGTCAGCGCCATTGGTGTTACATGCTCAGGGTTGTGTTTATGCTAGGTTTGACGACGAGGGAGTGCGATGGCAAACCTGTGAAGGTATTAATAAAGGTGCCCCCTTAGAAACCTTATCTCCCGCAATGATAACACTACAACTGGTGTTAGGAGTGGGGTGAAGAAAGAATACACCTATAGTGTCATCGGAGGATGGGAATGGCGAAACATTAATCTCTCCGGCAGCCACGGGAACTGGTTACGAAGCCCATTGGCGGAGAGAGAGCGGCTGCGGATCGGCGGGAGAGTGGCGGAAAATTGGCGAGAGAGGAGCCCGATCCTTTGCGGTCATGCGCCGATCACGCGGCATGGCCGAGGACCACCGTGTTGAGGGGAGCGCGGAGAAGTGTGGGAGTCGCTCCACAGCCAGCGGCGTGTAAAGGAGTCACGAAGGGACCCTGACAGCGATCCCCGTCTCTGTGGGAGAGCGGAGGAGCCTGGGCCGGAGACCACGCATGTGGTGAGTGCCATTTTGCCCGTGGAGGGCTTGGCATGGCTGGCGGGCGCTATTTTGCGAAGAGCGCGGGACAGCGCTGGAGGGGCGGCGGAGTTAATGGCGCTGCAAGGGGATATTTTTGGCCTCCCGTGCGATGCCCGCACGAGATTTCTCCAGTGGAAGTGAGGGGAAGCCGAGACACCCTTCACTTTCCGGGAGGCGCTGCTGGTGCTGGGGCAGACCGCGTACCCCCAGACGGGTGAGATGGCGCTCGACTCCTTGGCGGTGGAATGACTGCTGGTGAGGGAGTCGGGGATCGTCCTGCCCTTCGTGGAAGGCTTGGGGGATCACGTCCTTGAAGGTGGCCCGGGAAATTCAGGGCCACGAGGCCCGCCAGCATTGGCCCAAAGTGGAGGCTTGGCCGTGGCGGGAGGAGGACTTGGTGGCTGTGGTGTGCGGCCTGGGGACGCACGGGAGAAGGCCCCCGCGGGTGCGTTGGCAACCGGGGAAGCCCCCTTCGCCCTGGGGTCCCACGGCCAAGTGTTTCAGGTGTGGTCAGCCGAGCCACATCGCCATAGAATGCCGGGGTGTCAGCAGGGTGCCGGCAGTGCCACCGTAGCACTCTGACCTGCCGGCAACATTTTCCCAAGCTGCACCGGATCCGAGAATCTGATGCTTTCCGTTACTGCCGTGTGCAAAGTGTCAGGGGCTGGATCTGATTAGATGCTACTGCGGATTTCAGGGAGGGGCCGTGCCCTTAGGCCATTGTTTTTTTGTTCCCATTCCTAGAATCCCAAGGAATGCAAAACCCTGCCAAGGTGGGGGTGACCAGTGTCGAGTGCCGGCTCACGTGAGCTATGTTCTGGTAAAGGCGGACTCTCCCTTGTAAGGTGGGATTCGGGGGGGTTGTGTATATTGTTTGGCTTGTGTTATCGGTTCTCGTGGGGGGGGGGGGGGGGCGTCACGGTTATGTGGTCCCTGATGGGGTTCTTGCCCATGCCGCAGTTGCGCTGCGTGTTGGCGGTTTGTGCGGGGGTGCCGCGGGTTATTTTTGTTGGCGGTCCGCGGGGGGCGCTGGAGTTGCACTAAGTGGTTATGGTTCGCGGGAGACGCTGCGGTTGTGCTGTATGGTCGCGGGAAGTGTTGCAACCAAGGTTTTTTTTTTTGGGGTAAATTGTTTTTTCGTGTTGGTGGTGTTTCTCGGTGTTGGGGTTGCTCTTCCTGTCCACCGGTTGCAGTTGCAACGGCAACTGCGGTAGACAAATAATACACACGCCGGTGAGCATATACACGAATGTGTCGGCAGGGTGGAGGAACTGGGGCAAGGGTCATGGAAGACCCTATCTGGAAGCCCCTGGAACCTGCTAGAGGGTTCGAGAAGAAAGGCGCGACCAATGTGGAGCCAGGCCACGCTGGGTACAATAAAAGCAGCTGATAGCGGGAGCTCAGCGCTGCCTGTGCTGTGAGTGTGCTCGTGTCGTCGTCGCTGTCATCTTCGCTAGATATTGTGCGGCCGGATAGTTGTTGACTGTCTCGGTCAGCGCCATCGGTGTTACACGGTCAGGGTTGGGATTTAGGCTAGGCGAGACGACTAGAGAGAGCGAATTTCTATTTACGTGACCCAAAAAAAATCTTATGGATGATGTTGGTCGCGACAGCCTACGTGTTAAACTTGCTTAATTGCCTCAGCAATTCGGAGTTTTGTATCATATCTCATCACAAACACTCGAAGAGCACCCCTAAGTGGCAGCTACCTCTGTGTGGCATAAGGTGGCCCAGCACCAGCCTGCATGTGGGCATGAGTCTGGCAGTCAGGGGCGATAATTGATGTGTAATCTCAATGACACCAACATGCAAAGACCTATGTGTTTTTAATGACACAATAGTATGTTTTACATCCACTCTTTAAGCAGACGGTGCATATTTTGGTTGATGTTACTGGAGTAGCCAGGGGTGCCTGTCGGATTTGAACCTTGAACCTCTGCAATAAATCGAGAATGCGCTACCACTTGGCTTCCCTCAATCTGAGTGTAGGCATGCCAGCCAGTGTTTCTAACCAGCGCAGATGTTCCATTTAGAGGGGTGCACGTTTCACATTCTTACAGATTGGAGGGCATGACTGTTGCCGAGAAGACCCGGAGCTTCATGCAGAGCGACAGGCCAGGTAGCTTCCACACAGCATTGCAGAGCTGATGAAAAGATAATGCCGCCCGACTGATTCGGACCACCCAAACACTGTACACATACGCAGTGTAGACGTATTGTGTACACACAATGTATATACAGCATACACACTGCACATACACTGTATACACAAACACACTAACAAAAACAATGACTGCCATTCGCCAATACGTGGTGGTGAAGTCACCATGGCGCTTGTGCCAGGCTATGTGCACGTTAAGGCCACGTGAAGTGTCGAACTCCAGCCGGCAGGAGGTCACAGGGCAGACTCATGTGCCATGGTTCAACTGAGATGACTGGCCGATGCACCACCTGTGCCCCCTACTGTGCCAACAGTGTACACACACACGGTGTGCGCGCGCACCGTGTGTGTGTACACAGTTTGTATACAGGGGCCGTCCATAAATGACGTCACGCGATTTTGGACGATTTTGACCCCCCCCCCTTCGTCACACGACGTCATAAAAAGTCAGACCCCCCCCTCAAATATGACGTCACAAAGCTCTACCCACCCTCCCCCCCCAAAAAAAACATGCTTCAAATCGATTTAAACTATTGTCATTGCAGTGCGTATTTAATGTGGCGCTACACTCTGATGTTGTAGGAGAAAACATTTATTAAAAAGTCTATTTAATTAAGTCGAACGTGTTGTCCATATTTATTTAAGTTGCGCATTTTGATGTGACGTCACATTTATCACACCCCCCCCATCGTCACAAATCGTCACAAATGTCTGACCGTCCCCTCCCCAGTTGCGTGACGCCATTCATGGACGGCCCCACACACTGTTTACACAGTTTGTACACACACACACTGTATACACAGTTTGTACACACACACAGTGTATACACAGTTTGTACACACACACACTGTATACACAGTTTGTACACACACACAGTGTATACACAGTTTGTACACACACACAGTGTTTACACAGTTTGTACACACACACACTGTATACACAGTTTGTACACACACACACTGTATACACAGTTTGTACACACACACACTGTATACACAGTTTGTACACACACACACTGTATACACAGTTTGTACACACACACAGTGTATACACAGTTTGTACACACACACACTGTATACACAGTTTGTACACACACTGTATACACAGTTTGTACACACACACACTGTATACACAGTTTGTACACACACACACTGTATACACAGTTTGTACACACACACACTGTATACACAGTTTGTACACACACACTGTATACACAGTTTGTACACACACACACTATACACACAGTTTGTACACACACAGTGTATACAC